TCTTCTGTTGCGCTGTTCATTCTTTTCATACAGTTAAGAGGAGATCTATTTTCCAGTCTAGATAGATCACCATCCATCAGGATTTATGGTTCTCCTGCTATAGTTATTACACAAACATCTAATACAGATGTCTCCTCCCTGGTGCGGCGTCTCAAGGCTGTCCACTATTTAGCTGTTTAGCAGTGCACACACCCTCCCTCTGCAGACAACCCAAACCCTAAGCCGGCTCAAAACAGTTAAGCACCTCATCCACCCGCACAGAGCTCTCCTCCCCCTTTCCCCCTTTTGTCCTTCCTCTCCTCTCCTCTCCTCTCCTCCTCCCTTTTGCTCGTCCTCACAGTCTCCTTCTTCTTCCTCCTCTCTTGCCCCACGGGTCATAGTCTACCATTCCATTCCATTCCATTCGCTCCTTCAGCCAGTCTCGAGTCTCTTTCTCTCCAATCTTTCTGTCATCTTCGCCTGTCTATCGCTCTTTCTCTTTCTATCTTTGATCCATTTCTTTCTATTTTCTTGCTATTATCTTCTATTTTGTCCTCCTCAACTTCACCAACTACCGCCCCCTTCTTCTGTTATCTCCCCCATCTGTTCCATCTTCTTCTGTTCTGTCTACTTGCTCAGTAACATCCGTGTTTACTGCTTCTCTCAGGCTTCAATAGGCCCTCCTGAAGAGATACACGGGGGGACGCGTCGGGTTCATTTGCGTCTTCCCCTACGCGTATTCTTTGTCTGTTTATCCCCCTTATTTTGCTCGCAAACAACCTTCATATCTTGCTTTCGTGTTTCCGCTATTCCCATATCAGGTATATCTTTTGTTATCTTATTTCCAAATTGGCTTGTCTTGTTACTTAAGATCGTGGTGTTTTGCCGCTTTATTTACGTGGATCTCGCTTCTCTCTGTGCAAGACACATCTACGTCTCAAGGAGCTCACAAACGCAACAACGCAGAGGGAGCTGCAACAGAAGAATTACTGCCATCAAAATGTCGTTTCCTACTACTGGGTCTCCTGAGGCTACTCGCAAAGCATCTATTCAGTTCCAGGCTCGTGGTGATGTTGGGCCCCATGGACGTGTTTGCTCGGTCAGAACTCCCGTTCTTCTTCCGCCTACTTTTGCATCATGCCTTATAGACCCCCCCTCTTTGCTTGGTGACACATATCACCTTGATTTTGATACTGACTTCTTCTCCTTTGCAGATTTCGAAATACTCTAACCCCATCGAGTGTGTGCCCAATCCTCTTGTTTCGTCCAAGCTCGGCAACATCCAGCCAATGTCTCTGAATAAGGATGATTCTGGCCCTTCTAACAAGGTCAGATATATCCACACGTAGTCTCTCCCTTGGTTCCCCCAGTTATCCTAAGATATTGAAAATACTGACAATCCTAGAAGCAGAAGTTGGAGCACGCGAGTTCTGCCTCTCGTACAGAGCTGCAGCCATCTGCCTTGGATCAGATCTTAGCAAAGTTATCCCCAAAGGGTGGTGTTTCTGTGCAACAGCCATCTACCGATGATGAGATCCTGGCTAAGCTGTCTGAACACCAAACTCTGTTGGAACAGCAGCAGCAGATCCTAATTGACAAGCACATGCGTTCTACATCCCAGAACGAGGGTGCAAACACCTACCTCCACTTGAGTTCTGGAAACTCACCCAACTCAGTGGATAATACTTCGTCCAAGTCCAATGATGATAAAGTGGATGATATCGAAATGCTTCGTTTGAAACGGGAGTTGATGGCTGCTAATTCTCGCATAGCTCTTCAGGAACAAGAGCTGGCTCAGACCCGTGTAATCAAACACACCTTGGACCAGGCTCTTGGCCCACCCTCTGAGGCCGATTTTGGTGGCCGTGAGATCACAGAACATACTATAAGCAGTTTGCAAAATGTTTTCAATTCCTCTACCCGTCCATATAACCAGCGTCAGGATTCCTGGGCTACTCAAGATGATGCTCACTCTGACATTTCGGATGCTCTGTCCGCCGGTGCTTTCAACCGTGCTCGTGGTATTTGGAATAATGCCCACCCTCCGTCCTTAAAGAATGCTGTTGGCATATATGACAAACCGTATTGTGAGCCTACTCCCTTGGGAAGTCCCACAGTTACGGCTGACCCTGGTCGTAACTGGGCTGGCAGATTATCCCAGCCGGGTTTTGGAGGGCAACACCCAGGCTATATAGCCGGTCAGCGCGTTTTATCCGGCCCCGGTTCGCCTACCTTTGGATTTGATAGTCGTTTTGCTGGCGAGCAAGCTCAGTATCTGCAGGCCCCTGGGAATCGCCGTTCCTCAGCTCAGCTTAATCGTGGCGGGTCGTGCTTCCCACCTCAAAATTCTCCTTGGGGAACATTTTCAACCGTAGCCCCTGGTGGACCAACTATGCGAGCAGTAAGCAACCAGCATGTCAGCGCCTATCCCGGAATGTTTCCTGGCCCTGGACAGTATCAGCAACGACCAATCGGGACTCCTCTCTCTCCGACTGCAGCAGAATTTACTGTCAATTCTGCTCCTGACACTTGGAGTACATCAGTGAGTAAGTCACCGCCGTTGTTTATTTCAATTTTACTGACAATTGCAGTCTACCTCTGGTGCTGTTCAGACATATGTCTCTCCTCTTGAGCCATTGAACTACCGCCGCCTGTTAGACAAGAGTGTGTCCTGTGACTGGAAGTACATTGTGGACAAAATTGTCTGCAGCAATGACCAGCAGGCTTCTATTTTTCTCCAGCAAAAACTCAAGGTTGGAACGGCGGAGCAAAAGTATGAAATCATTGAAGCAATTGTTAACCAGGCGTACCCATTGATGGTCAATCGTTTCGGAAATTTCCTTGTTCAGCGTTGTTTTGAACACGGCACTCCTGAACAGGTCATTGCCATCGCCAACGCTGTTCGTGGAAACACGTTGAGCTTGAGTATGGACCCTTTTGGCTGTCATGTAATTCAGAAGGCATTTGATTGCGTGCCAGAGGAGCACAAGGCGGCCATGGTTCATGAGCTGCTGCGTCGTATCCCGGAAACTGTTATCCACCGCTATGCTTGCCATGTCTGGCAGAAACTCTTCGAACTTCGCTGGAGCAATGAGCCTCCTCAGATTATGGCGAAGGTCAACGAAGCACTCCGTGGAATGTGGCATGAAGTTGCTCTCGGCGAGACTGGAAGCTTGGTCGTTCAGAATATTTTTGAGAACTGCGTCGAGGATGAGAAGGTGTGAATTCTTCCCCATTGCATCTCTTCTTCTCGGACATCTTACTGACAGCCATCTCAGCGCCAAGCCATTGAGGAAGTCCTCGCCAAAATCGATCTTCTCTCGCATGGGCAATTTGGTAACTGGTGCATTCAGCATATTTGCGAACATGGAGCGCCTCATGACAAAAGCCGTGCCATTGAACATATCCTTCTTTGGGCCACTGACTATAGCATGGACCAGTTCGCCTCCAAGGTGGTTGAAAAATGCCTGAAGATTGGTGGTTCTGAATTTCTAGACCGCTACCTTGCTCGTGTTTGTACCGGTCGTCCTGACCGCCCTCGCATGCCACTGATCGATAGTAAGTTTGGGTGATACTCTTTCGGTTGGTTGATATGAGACTCTAATGTGTTTGGGTAGTTGCTGGTGATCAGTACGGTAATTACTTGATCCAGTGGATCCTTATGAATTCTGCTGCTCATCAACGAGAAATTGTTGCTACCCATATTCGGTCCGTCAATTTTCATTCCTTGAACCTTTGTTAACATTAGTCTAACTTCTTCCACACAGCAAACATATGGTCTCCTTGCGTGGTTCCAAGTTCGGTTCCCGCGTTGCAATGTTGTGTTGCAACCCCAGTCATATTACTCGTCCTGGTCCAGGGGCAGGAGTCCAGGTTAACCGCTTCTCGAACCCTGGAGGAGAGGATCGTTTTCCAGCAACCCAGCCTGCCGGGCGGTTCAGCCGCGGCAGCCAGTGGGGCTCCAGCTACCCACCATTTCGTTGACCATCTCTAGACAGACTATTATCATTAGGATCCTTTGATTTCCCCCACATTATATCCAACGTTTGTTGCCGCTGACTTCGGAATAGTGGAAGCAAGATCATATATCGAAAAGTGCATTTACAATTATTTTCACCAGTCTAGGATTCTCGGATGCGTGGATTTTTCCTGCTTGGTTCGAGCTCTCTTTTAAAAAAATCCTACCATCTGCTCTTTGGTTTGTTGGAGCTGCTACCGACGACCAACAACCATTCTGATTCCATTTTCTCTTAGATTCGTTTTGCTTTCCCTTGACACTTCCTTTCCTGAACCTCGAGAACTATACCCATTTCATTCGTTTAATTTGCCATATTTCTTTGAAGATGATTTTATTCTAAAATAACTAATAGGTGAGGGTTTCCCAAGTGGCTTTGGTTTACCAGAAAAAGGCAGGTTTTTCTGAACCGTTTTCCCCAATTTTATTTGTAAGGTTTATAGTTCGAATTTCGTTCTCAGATTCGGTTTTCATCTTTTTATATTCTTCCCCATGGTCCAGTTCTTCCTCGTGCCCTTCATTGTCGCCAATTTGTTTTGATTCTCTGGCTGGACATTCACAATTTTGAGACTAGAGGCAATACGGAAGTTGATCTGACTTGGCCTTCAAGGACTGGTCGTTGGCCTTGTTTAAAAGATATTCTTTTAATGATGAGATTACAGTGTATTTTAGCCACGATTCGGACAAAGGTAGTTATAGTTTCATAACATAATCGCGGGAGCAACATTATCCGAAAGAGTTTAATGGTATCTATTATAGTCTGTAGTTTATAGTTAGGTAAATATATCATATATAAATTATACATACACGTTCATTGGGGAGTTCTTAAAACCTTGTTCATTAATTCAAACTCTGCCTTTTTTTTTTTTTTTTTTTTTTTTCCTTTTCTCGTTACTTTGATCGTCTACCCGGAACCGACATAGCGACGTAATTCTTCCCTATGCCTCCCTTGCACACACTCATCACTACGGCTGCGGTTGCTTTTGGCGCTCCTTCTCACTCCTCTCTTCCCCTCGCGCGTACTCCAATTAAT